TAAGGGGCAGTGGTTGTAGCTATGCACCATGACGGTTACTGTGAGGGGCAGTGGTCGTAGCTATGCGCCATAACGGTTACCGTGAGGGGCAGTGGTCGTAGCGATACGCCATGACGGTTAGCGTAAGAGCCAGTGGTCGTAGCGACGCGCCATGACAGTTACTGTGAGGGGCAGTGGTCGTAGCTATGCGCCATAACGGTTACCGTGAGGGGCAGTGGTCGTAGCGATACGCCATGACGGTTAGCGTAAGAGCCAGTGGTCGTAGCGACGCGCCATGACAGTTACCATAAGGGGCAGTGGTCGTAGCTATGCGCCATGACGGTTACTGTGAGGGGCAGTGGTCGTAGCTATGCGCCATAACGGTTACCGTGAGGGGCAGTGGTCGTAGCGATACGCCATGACGGCTACTGTGAGGGGCAGTGGACGTAGCTATGCGCCATGACGGCTACTGTGAGAGGCAGTGGTCGTAGCTATGCGCCATGACGGTTATTGTGAGGGTAGTGGTCGTCGCGATGCGTCATGACAGTCACCAAAAGAGGCGGTGTTCGTCGCGATGCGTCATGACGGCTACCGATCTTTGAGATATGAACATGAAAGTGAGGTATACTCAATAACTCATTAATCTGCAATTGATAATAATAACAACCTTTATTGATATCGTATCCCCTCTGGGATATGGATAAGGATATAAGGAACAATAAAATACATAAGGAATAATATAATAAAAAAAAATTGTAAAATATATAGTAATACTGTGAAAATATTATTTTACAAATATTATATTATATATTGATGTCGTCGATATATTCCTACTTTGCCATCGTGCCCACATATACGGCTATGTCAATATTATGTTAAATACGCAGCGCTGTTCACACAGTATGTAACCAAAGCAACCATTGTCACTTGACATTGTACACTGCACCAATCAAATTATGTTTTCACTAATTGAATGTTAGCGCTAATGTAATTGCCGCATTTCAATTCCTAATAAAGACAATAAATCGTACTGTGACCGTTGGCATAAGCCATTTCTTGTACAGTCATGTAGTTATTTTTATTGTGGAGTGAACTACAACCTGGATTGCACTTAACGTTCGTGTTTAATTTATAAATTAATTTAAGTTTAACGATCAGAACAAAAGGTATCCTGCTGTAAATTCGCGACACTCCTAAAATTGACAAAGATGAAGTCCAGCTACATCTGTTTATAGAGCGAGGAATCCCAACCAAAATAACACGTTCACTCAAGTAGGTGTGCGTGTAATTGTTACAATAAGGTTCAGGGATGGATAACAAGAGACGAACTGGTGTACACTATAATATATGACTTTATTGAAACTTCTGCCGTGATGTGTCAAAGCACCCCCTTATATACACAAGTTTACATTCCTTGCATTTTGGCGGAAAGTGACTTTGGCCTTGTACATGATTGGGTAATAGGGAGACGAGCTGATAGGTAAATAACTCATAATGAGGTTGTTTCATTGGCTAAAATTAACATATACTATGATTGGCTAAAATATTTGTAAGCAGAATCCTAAATCGACATCAAGCTCGGCTAGTTATATTTCCGATAAGGTGCTTACATGACCGGGGTTATCGAGTCGAAATAATATTTTGTGGTATATATGATCAGACTGTGCCTAATCAGATAAATTTAATAATATAATAGTAGCATCTTAAATGGCACCAGAAAGTTGTGTTTAACAATTAAAACAGCGCATAGACATGTAAGAATGTGACGGGGTGTTTGTTTTTGAGAGCCACGAAAAACGGCATTTTAAACTATGTCCGTTGTTGGGAACTTGTAATCAGCTAACAGTACGAAACGTTTGTTACTCTCGGAATGATTTTCTCCCTGCAAGAAATGTCTTAACTCTACAGTTTGAAATTTGACATTGAGTGAATTAGTTGTTCATAACGAAACCAAGCCAGTCAACATTTCCTAATGAGTTTCAATGATTGAATAATAACACGCGATATATTTGCTTTTACATTATACGGATTTACTCCCTTTGTTTGCGAGCGAACACAGCGTACTTGATCTGCAATATCTACGATTTTGTATGCTGCCAAAAAATATCTCAGGATGTAGTAAAATGCATATGCGCACTAATTATTTTCACGGAAAATGTTGAAATCATATTAATCCATATATTTTATCACATTATTTAAAAATCGTTGTTAGATACATACATTATTAACGTGGTCATGTGACTGCTATCTAAACACATCCTCCGTTGAAGATTCAAATGAGTACTATGAAAAAAAATCAAATGGGATACATCATTTTTTTTACAGTCTAGAATAAGACATAACAGTCAAAGCGATTTTGTATAACCTATTTTATATTTGTATTTTCGCATTTTCAATAAAATCTTCAGAATGCATTATTTCTTTTTTCATTCAATTTTCAATGATTTTTTTAGAATGCATGAATTACATATTACATCTACCATTTCTGAAAAAAGTGCCGCTATGTAGTACTCATTTGATTGATCATTTTGATGTCGGAATTAAAACAAAGATATATAACAATATCAATAAATGTATAGTGGGGTTTTATATTTTTTTAAATATAATCATGAAATCCCCTGTAACAAATGTTTTGACGTCCAGTAAAACACGTCTACCCATACAAAACGTGTAAATAGCTTTTTCTTTCTTGAAAATAAATTAAATCTGATGGCTGAAGTCACTTTAATAATGAAAGTTGGTCAGTCCCCAGAGATGACGACCATGTGCCCAAAATTATATTGAAAAAGAGACCACCTCCTTGGTTCGAGCTTGCTTCTTTGTTAAAGACAAAAAATAGAGCAAGGAAAATATTTCGAAGTGAGGTAACTATGATGAATTTTAGGAATGCTAGGCGAGAATTCAAACTAGCCATAAAACTTAAACTTGAATGTTATTTAAATAATTTAGCTGATAACATTAAGGTAAACCCTAAACGTTTATGGTCATAAGTACAAACTAATAGGAAGACTAATCTTCTTCCAACTCTTCAACTTGGTGATGTTGAAGTTTCCTACAATACAGACAAAGCAGAATTATTTAAGAAATATTTTAATAGTGTGTATTCTTCTACTAATGTATCTGACAGTGATTGTCTTGAATGTTGTGATTTTATAAATAACTCTTTGCCATCTGTCTGTTTTTCACGAAATGATATTTTTGAATCACTGAAGGCACTTGATCCAATGGAATCAGTTGGTGCTGATGGAATAATTACACAGGTTTTAAATCAATGTGCAGATGAATTATCATATCCTTTGTTTTGTTGCTCAATTTATCGATAATTAGTGGCAAAGTTCCAAGTCAATGAAAGTGTGCAAACATTGTGCCAATTTTCAAAGCAGGTCATCGCAATAGTATAAACAACTATAGACCAGTATCTTTACTCCCTGTTGTTTCTAAAATTATGGGGAAACAAGTGTTTAATGCCATTTATTCTCATGTACATTGTTATTTATCAGATTGCCAGCATAGATTTGTCTGCGGGAAATCATGTACAACTAATCTTTCAGTTTTTATGAGTCCTCTTTAATACTCTTAATT